CAGCAACAGCGGAAAAGGAATGGACACAAAATTGAGGGACGGATAAAGTGGTTAGAAGATCTCGACAAGGAGTTCAAGACAAGACCGAGCAAGATCGAAGCGATCTACAAGGCAGATTGGCACGTTTCATTTTGGCGAAACAAGAAACCTATCTGGACCAAGCTGCGCACTTACGACAAGATCGGCCGATTCCAAGACCAGATCGAACCGATCCCAAGGCAAGATCGACGCAAGATTATTATTTGATGAGTAAAGATTTCCGCGCAGCAAAGACCCCGACCCCGAAGACAGATCGAGATCGGTGTGATTCAAGATCGAGATCGCGACGTCTCCAAAAAGAAATCGCCGTGACTCGAGATACAGATCGCAGAACCCCTGTTCGTGGTGTGAAGATTTCCGCACCGAAAGAGGACCCTCAACCCCAAACCCTCATCGAGATCGACATCTCCCAAGGCCATTACGAAGAGCTCAAGCCATCCCAACCGACTGGTACACAAGGCGAGCACAAGGATATACAACAAGGCATGGATCGTAGTACCGCCTTCGTGAGTCGGCAAGTCTGGGTCAAGTGGAAGATTGACGCTCACACAAGCGATTTTGTGAGATCGACTTCACCACATACAATAGAAGTAAACGGGGGGACTGGCTATCGCAGTGGGTGGAGCCCTAGCTGAAGCGATACGAGAGAAGAAGAATATAAGGAGAGAGAGAGAGATTTACAGATGTGGTGAATGACTGAGTGACTAACAGACTAAACCACATTTTGCTGTGTTCATTTCCATTGCTGGTGTTTTCTTTTTTATTGTTGTTGCTGATGTTATGCAGACCTACGCTGGTGTCGCGTTCTGGGAGCTTGGCAACTTTTTGGCTGGTGCCAAGTTCCTACTACCAGTATTTTCCAAGTGCGTGGATGTGCGTAAGAATTAATGAGGTACGAGAACTGACTGCTGGTTAAATAATGTTGTGGCGATGGTACCAGGGTGCTTGGAGCGATCATGTTGGCCATATTTGGGTTAATGTTTATAAAGGCGGATATGAAGCCGTCTCTTGACTTGGATGTCGAAGCATCTCATAATTAATCAGAGCGAAGACCACACGGAGAGGTTTTTTGAAACGTCTCGATGCGACTTACAGTGTCTGGGATCTAACCCGGTGTTGCTTGCATCTTATACTGGCGCAATGCATCAGTTACTTGCGATGCTGTGTGGAATACATACCACCAATTTTTGAGCCAAATGATCTGTGTTGTTAAGGATACTGCAGTGTACGGCACCATAATACTTGAGTTCACGCTGTCCCTAGCCGTCTTATTTCCCATCGGCGTTTATTGTGGTGTTTCTACATGGTCTTACTTGCTACTTTCTCTCTTGAAAAGGTACAAGCAGGTTGGTAATCTGTGCTTCTGCTGATAGGTTTTGTGCAACACGGCTAACTAGCGTCGCGTGGGTATTTTGGATTTGATGAAGCATGAACGACCACACCATTGACTCAATTTGGCGTGAATTGGTCTGCTTTCGGCTCGCACTAGATATCTGTTGCGCAAAGTCATCGTTGGATTACTTTTGTTGACTCCGATAGATGATGCCGAGGAGACATGACCATGCCGACGTAATACGAAAGAGAGCGTCAATAGTCCAGATAAGCAACTGATGGAAGTGTAAAGAATGTAAACACAGATATGAGAGAATTCAATAGCAGCACTAAACGTTTCTAGCAAGTCGGCTATACCCAGGTTGGCTGTTTTAAAAGTGTTAAAAAGTATGTTTAAATAGCTTTCTGACCAATCAGATGCATTATTTTGAGAGAGTGGGGGGCTAATCAAAACAAAGGTAGGGGATGAAAACGAATCATGTTCTATTTTAAACTATACTTATGCCTGCTACTCGTTATTCCTCATAAATATATAATCGCATTTCCGAAAGCCGCCTGACCATCGATTTCAGTCTTTATCAACCTTTCATTATCTCTATCATTGAGATGAGATTCTAATACCCTTTCACTGATGCAGCAGCTTCTGCTTGTGCACATGATATTGTTTTTTTGCCGAAGACGAAAGGCCTTGTCATGGGAATGTGAAGAGCTTATACCGACCGGGCCCTTCGGCAGCCAGAAGGAAGCTGTAGAGGCCGTCAAACAGTACTTCGTACGCCAAGTCTTTTCCGTCAGCATCTACCGCAGCAATAAAGTTGGAACCAAGCGCGTTTTTCCGTGCTGTTCACAGGGAAATCAATACAAGCGATCAAACGATCGGCATATGATAGTGCAAGACCGTTCAACAAAGAAGGTCGGATGCTTGTATGAGCCTGCTATCGTATATGACAAACACGCTCCGGAAGAAACCGCCTGGTCGACGCTTTTTGTGAATGAATGCCACAATGTCCATGTCAGATGTATAGATAGAACTATGATCTCAGCACTACCTGAGGCTCGTTGTACAAAGAGAGAAGAGGAAGATGTCGACGCCAATGTTGTACAGATGCATAAAGATGAAGCTACTCCACGGGAAATTAGTGTGCATATAATAATCTTGAAGCAACTATGGTATTTATTTAATGGTTATTATTTTCTCCGGAAGTGTGCCTATACTACTCTTATAAAGCAACTATTATATTTATTTGCTTTTCATTTCCTTTGCTAGTTTATAATTAACTATTTCAAGGGGGCGAACGTCCTGATTAAGGAAAGATATATACAGGATATCGTTAAAAAAGTAAACTTGAAGGCCCTGAGCGGTAAGTTTGGTGTAGGGAATTTCCGATCGTGTTATTCCCTAATATTGACTTGATTATAGGAGGGGTGAACAAGACGAGAGAAATCGGAGCGCGTGGAAGTCGAACAATCATGGCTCGACGAGGCAAGACTCGACGAGACAGGACGAGCCAAGACTCGACAAGCGAACAAGATGATACTGGCCCATCCCACTAGGTGATAGTATAGAACGACGAGGGGGTGAAGGAGAACCACTCAAGTGTCCTTTTGAAATCAGAGAGAGAATAGGAGATAATGAATTCAGAGAAGAATTTTACAAGTCCAAGACACGTGTACAAGTTTAAAGTAAGTCCCTGCGTGGGTTGGATTATACCTGCTGTCTGATCTCGAGGAGCATATCTTGTAAAGGTCTCGATTGGAAGCACCAATATTTAAGTCGGCTCGGGGTGGGCATTACTCGCTTCCAGCGAAAGATCAGTCTCGTCGCTTGGCGAGCCGGTGACCCAATAGACGACACTGTCCAAAGACTCGTCAAGCGACGAGCCGGTGGGTCTTTGACTAAGAACACCGTAATTCTTCCAGTCGGGCGTATACTGCGCTCGTTGACCTGTAAAAGCGTGAGAACTCTGACGTCTACCCATTGGCACTAGGTCACAGGATTGGAGGAGCGGAAGCTACTGAGCTCAGGCAGTCTTCTGGAAAGGCGTGTGAGTGGTTGGGGGTGTTCAGCTAGGCGAGAGCCACAACTGAACCCGAAGGGGCGAATCGCGAAGGGTATTTACCCGACGTACAAGCCCAAATGTGCCGACTATCTCGGCAATTGTTGTGTTGTTACGTTGAGACTGCATTGCCACAGATCTAAATAATTACTATACCACAGTTGTTGTTTCCATACAGTTGGCAGAGTGCTCGTGTAGTCTGAACGAGACCGTTACGATCATCAGGTAGACCTAAAGGCGGACAAGACGTCAAAAAATGCTTACAACCGTCGTCATCAGCAGCCTGGACGAGGCGTTGAGCGAGATGGAGGTCATTAACCTCCTCAAGTTGAACGCGCCTTTTCTATGTCTGTATTAGGTCAGCAAACACTATTTGGCTAGCGCCCGGTTCATCCCGAACCGCCTTCAAAATATTGTCTAGGTTACTGGAAGAATATATGGTATTGTGAATACGTGCTCGAGTTTTGTTTTCATAGAGACAAAGCGCGTTATCACGTGACGGATGTGCAATTCGTGGAAAATATCACGCACCGTCTGATCGCAATCAGCATAGACAGCGAGACCGTCGACTTTAACTAATTTAGTGCAGCTAGCCTCAGACGCCGGATCGTTCGGCGGTGAAACACATGTCGGAACGATACAGAGATGGTTATCAGAGTAGTCATCGTCAGCGGTTGATTCGTAGACATCAAGCTGCGCATCAAGAGCGGCAAGAGCATCGTGCTCCACGATCGCGCAGTATCCTCGCCCGTCCGAGCATGGTGACGTTTACGGCTCCGTTGGAATTGAAACTCATTGAGCGGCGGTTGAGGTAGTGGCGCAGAGACAGCTGGTCTAGTGGATTGAGCGACAGGGAGTGAAGATAACACGTTCGCCAGAGACGACGCGTAAACTGGACCAGGTGTAGATGTTGACAAGAGTTTTCCTTGCGACTTGTCCCCCAGGTCTTTCCTTGGTTCATCACGTGAAGCACCAGAAACACCACGCTCAACCACGGAGCCGATAGACTTATCTACAGCCCGATTAAGTACTGTTGTAGCTTTAATAGCCAGAGAGGTAAGGTCCAAGGACCATCGCAACCGTCGAGGATAAGGCGCCTCGGGACGAAAATTTTGAGTTCAGGATGGCGCACAGGGTACACTGATCCACGAAAGATGAACTGGCTCACCGCCTCACCGTCAACATCCAGACAAAGAGACCTCGAACTGGAACGGAGGTAGATTCGTGCTTGTTTCCTTAAAGCGCAGTACCGTGGCTAGCCCCCCCACCGAGCACAATACAGGGGCGAGGATCCTTGAGAACGGAGGAGATCAACGTAAAGCTCCGGTGTCATCGAACCAGATACTCCGAAAACGTCGACATAATGGCAAGTACCAAGGACACTACTATCCTTAAAAGCAATTTGATGGCCAAGTAGAGTCACCTGCTCCCCAGCCAAAGATCACTTAACATCCAGCGACTTGGGTCCGGTAGAAATTGAACCGTATGAGGCCCGCTCAAGAACATTGATCTGACCGCTGCTAAGCAAATCCTCCACCTTTGCATTTCCATACTTACTTAAAAAGGAAGCAACTAACTTGGAAGTTTCCACCTTCGAAAATAGCACCATACCTCCAATTCCACCGAGTAAAGAAACTCTTCTGCTACACCCGGGCCCAAGGCACGGAGCTTACGCAGAATAACGTCACGATCGGTCTCGTCATCATTGAGCTGAATCATCGCCAACAGGTCGCAATCGGACGGTTTAGAGATGTCGAAGGACACTGGAGGCGCAGGTTTGCCGGTCTTCTTCCGACCGGCTCCATTACGGAGCAGTGTGGAATAGCCCATAGGTGGCGACGGAACAGAGCAATCTGAGCCCGTCGATACATCATCGCCGCCGGAAGGTAGCTGCCCCGCCCGGAGACCTGTAGACGCAGAGGTCGATGATACCGAGCTCACTGCTTCCGACATGGACGTAGGGGAGAGGGCGCATCGGCCTACCGGGGTGGTTGGACAAGCCACGGTATCCGCAGCCAGACCTGTCGGCGCGTTAGCAGACACCACATCAGAACCATTGGCGTTCGGCATTGTCAAAGGTGAAAGCTGATCGGGTATATTTCTCGATTAGTTACTTGGAATCAACTTGATAACAAGGATTGCAGTGTTGTTGCGGGTATTGCGAGCCTTTTTCGATTACGACGTCAGCCACCAGTAAATTATCTCGCTAGACAAGCACTCCGACTATGGGACACCGCGTTGACCGCGAAACGCCGCGCCATCTCGAGGTAACAGCTGGCGCAGCGCAGATCGACTGCCCGTGGTCTAGTGCTATAGGATATATGTGTAATTTCCTACACGATAGTCGATTACCGTCAGACAGGATATAGCAGGTCGTTCGCGTACTAGAATATACATCACCTTTATGCTCACTACATAATAGCGAGCAATGGGTACTGGCGGTCACCTGCTGTCATCACATCTTCAACTCAGCTGTTTGGACGCACAACTTGACCAAAGATACGTAACAGTGAGTCGTGAACGGGGTGGGAGACACTGCTTCTGATGGGCAAGGACTGGTCATGTCGATCAATTTCCGAGTCTGTTCTTTTGATGCAATTGTGCTTGCCATACTGAATACTGAAGTATAGGTAGTATTGAGGTCTAGATCGACTGCACATGACAGTCTAATGAACTAGCTGTCGCAAGGTCCATGGTGCCATGTTTGAATAGTCGCACCTGTTTTCAGTTCCAGTAAAGGTTGCTCTGCGGACTGCCCGATGCCAGCGAAGGTAGCATCAATGTGTTGAGGTTGGTCAGTTGCTGCGTGCGAGTCGCGACAGGTCGCACAATTCCATCGTGGAAAGACGGCCCATTCTGCAGCAGCATGACTGAAACAAGCTTCATCGGCTACGCAGTAAACGCTTGTTGCTACCTTCTCCTCCATTTCTGCATCGCACCGACGTCCTCCAGACTGGTTGCAATTCAGAATCCGACTAAAGAACGTCGGTATCGACACCGTCTCGTTGACTATCGATGATCTTTCGCATCGCCAGACATATTCGCGCAGCCACCCGATCAATTGCAGACAGAAGTTGCTTCGTATCTGGGCAAAGCCTCTCGCAGTGTCCAGCATGACCAAATCAAACAGGTATACTGCATTGTTGACACCAACAACTGTCGGCTATGTTTCAGACAAACGATATCGTTTACATTGTGTGGCCCACGCTCGCCGTGATCTGCATGTTACGTCCGTACACTCACTCACTATGTCGTCAGTCTCCAGTGGTTTACTGGTGGTGGCGGAACAACGCTAGTGGCTGTGCGCTGTCCAATCACACGGCGTGTTCGAGCAGCGTCAACTTCGACATGGACTGCTGGTCGAGTCTGTATCCCAAGTTTACTCGTTTCGACAGGCTCTCTCCACCTGCAGCTCAACCAGAAGCACCACACGCGACCGATTCCAAATGACAGGCTTTTCACCAGAGGCCGTTCGGTACCGAAACGGGGCAGCGCCGCGGAGACCTATTTCAGCGAATCAGCACGTCGCTCGCCCCCCTTTCCACCAACCGGTGGGTACGGCTTCGACCCGCGCGGCCCTTGGATTACGTAAGCGCGTGTCCGCTCGACCAGCTGCGGCCACCTCCTCGACACTCGACAGGCTGCAGTAGTATGTCCAAGGCGCCCAAGACCAAGAAGGCCGCGCTGCACTACCAGCCGTACCAAGCGCTTGGCGTACGCTCCTTTGGTCGTCGCTCGATTAGTCTCTATGCAGGCGGTCGCCGCCTGTACTAACCGCTTGTCCCTTTGTATTGTCGGCTGTGGCATGTTGGGTTACTCTTGTGGTGCTGCTGTTGTTGTTGCTGTTGTTGTTGTTGTTGTTGTTGTTGTTGCTGTTGTTGTCCGTGCGCGTTGGATTGTTGACGGCACTGTAGCAGAACAGTGAGGAAGTAGAGCCGCCTCTGGATCTCCATGTGGCAGACGTGCCGCTGCCTCTGGACCCCGTGCTCTCGTACGTGCGCGTCGATGTATCGACACTACGCAAAAGATGTGTCGTCTTACTTGTGGGCGTGTACTTTGGTGTCTTGTTGTGCCAACGTATGGCAGCGGTCTGTCGTCGAACATGAGCCGCAACTTGTGGGACGACTGGAACGAAGACGACGTCCACTTGGGCACAAGACTTGACATGTACGCGGACGATATGGTGAGTTCAATGGACACGACAGGCGCTTCGAATTCCATCCGGCACGTACCGAGTAGTCATAACGGTAACGGTGACTTTGAGCAGCAGTTTCAGCAGAACGCAGGGACCAGCTCCATGCACGCAGGGCACGTCCACGCACTGCATGGATCAATGTCTCGTTCGTCAGCGGATCCGCAGAACGTGCGGGCCAACATGCAGCGGTCACTTAGTGACGACATTGTCAATATGCTGGACGACGTCAGTGAGACGACGTTCTGCAAGCAGTTGGAAGCCGAGCCGCGTGGCGATAACGGGGTCATGCAGAACATGATGTTTGACATCGCAGCCGCGGGACAGAATACGTTGGGGTTCCAGCAACAGCAACAACAGCAACAACAGCAACAACATCAGCAACAGCAAATGCTTATGCGAATGCACCACGAGCAGCAATACCAGCAACAGCACTTGGGGCAACAGCATTTCCAGCAGTTTAGTGCTCAGAATACCTCGAGCTGGATGAACAACTTTGGAGGAAAAGACCAGACCCATGCGACCTCAAGCACACCAGTTTCTGGTACCACTAGCAACCCGTCCGGTTTGCAGTATCTGTCGCACTCAACGAGCTCGGCAGCTATGAACGAGGGAGCTGCTATGCCGAATGCCGGTTACCCAACATCTCAAACTCCCGTAACACCAGGCACCTCTTTGCCTATATTGCCTAGAGCAACTTTTACATCCCAACATGCCTCGAGCGTTGCCAGCCCAACTGGGAAAGCCCAAGCAGCGAGTACGCAAAGTAGCACTTCGTCTGCTAGCAATGCTGCTAGCGAAGATGCTAGCGCTTCTCAGAAGACCGCAAATGGGGATACGGTCCCGAGCAACCACACCGCTGCAAGTGCGGCAAGCGTTTCGCCACAACAGGCGAACGGATTCGGTGCGCAAGGAGTAATGATGAATCCGTTTATGATGTACTCGATGATGGGTATGCAAGGAATGAACATGATGGGAATGCCTATGCAGTTGTCGGCGGGAATGAACATGAATGGGATGAATAACATGAATGGAATGAATGGAATGACACCAGCAATGCAAATGCAGTTGCAGCTGCAGATGCAAATGCAGATAGCTCAGATGGCGCAGGTGAATGGACTAGGCCTGATGCAGATGCCCATGGGGCTACCAGGCATGCCGATGGGTGTTCACATGCAGATGCCCCTGAATACGAACATGCAGCAACAGGTAGATTCGCACAGCGGACCATCTCATGATGTTGATATGACTCCTGTGGAGGCGCCTGTCGCTGGAGATCCTGCGCTGAGGCCCGTCAGGACCGTTCAACCAAAGGGCGCGCGTGGCGGGCCGGGCTTTGTGAATATTGCTAGAAAGCCCGAAGAATCGGAAGTGAGCAGCATTCTGAAATCTCTCATGGACGAAGAGGCCAAGAAGAAGGGCAAAAAGCTTGAGCGCAACCGCGACTCTGCACGAGAAAGTCGTAGAAAGCAGCAAACATATGTGGAAACACTGGAAAATGGCATCAAGTGTTTACAGATCAACCGCAATATCGTTCGCTCCTACCAATGGGGCGTCAGTGGTCCAGCGTTCTGTACCACGCCTCGTCCGACCTCATCTCACCTGTCTGATTGGACGAAGCATGTAGGGGTAGTCACTGGGCGCACTGAAGCTTTCTCGCGAATCCAGAATCCTTCCAACTTTCAGTCCCTTATGCAACTCAACCGACAGCGACGGACACTATCGATGCAACGTGACGAGCGCGAACGTGGGGTATGGAAGTGCTTTCGGCTCGTTGGACGCCAACTTGCGACGATACGGACAAGTGTGTTACAGGTGCAGATGCTGTGCACATTTGGAGGACACCCTTTGGCAACGGAGCTGGACGCATTGCTGAATTTGTCAGCTGACCAAAAACTGCAGCTCCGGTGCCACGCACAGCGAATGCTCAATGAGGAGGTCGTCGAGCTGACGAAATTGTTTAAAATCTTCTTTGCTCTACGCAACGAAGCGCTTCGGCTGAACATACTATCCCCTTCGCTGGAGCGCTACTTTCGCGAGACTTGCTCGTTCGACCAGCTGCAGAAGCTGCTACAGTGGACAGAGAATCATCGCGCTGTAATTGAATCCGATCTTTCAATAGATGCAGTTTGAGCGCAAGATGTCGAATTACCTGTTGGAGTTTTGTGGCGTGCGTAAAGCGTCGGCGTGCTGTTCACGGAAGATAGACAATGCTGGGATGCAGATCTATGCTCTTGCTTGGAGGCTACGGTGCTATGTGTCGTCGGAGATGACCACAGCTACGACGTGAAATGCAAAATGGTCATCCATGCATGCTTTCTTTGCATCGCCGTGAAATGCGAAATGGTCATTCATGCGTGCTTTCTTTGCATCGCCGTGCCTAGCCCCATGCAGTTCTTGCAGGAGCCGACAAAATTCGTCGAGCCTCTGTGGGTTAGCAAATGACAAAATAATTTGCGGAAGCAATGCGCTGAACTGTTGCTGGTCAGCTCTGAGCATTGTGATGCCCTCAAAGAAACACCGGTCTCGACTTGACAGTCATGTTCGTATAAGAACTCACTGCCTGCAGTCGGCGAGGCGCAGTTGCTGCGACCGGACACTCGCGCTACGAATGTGCTGTAAATGGACACCGTGTGGTTTTGCGACACTTTGCAGCATATGTCTGGCTGCTCGACACCTTGTCCACGAGCTGACGTGTAGTGTGAACTGGCTATGAGAACAAAGGCAAGCTATTTTGTGGCCCGTGCCACCTCAATCGCAAAAAAAGGTTGCCGCTTGTACGAAGCAAAACAGTTCCACACTTTCGCGTACCAGTCATTCTCGCCGGCCTAGGTGTTTGTTCGTCATCGAAGTGAAAAAAACCATCACGAGATCGTCCGCGCTGCCGTCGTCAACAAGCAATTTGTTTGTGCATCGTCGAACCAGATGCACGCTTACGCTAATGACCCTCCGCCAGCGACTTCGTACTATAGCGTGTGTGACCTCCGACACGTCACAGCTTTCGAGTTTGGATGGACGGATACTTCTCGCACTCGTGCATCCATCACGAGCTCGTCAATCTCATCATCTCATGCTCTGCTGAGCAAACAACGTCATTTAAACATCTACATGCAGTCGATCGCAGCACAAGCGAATTTACTGATTGGTGTCAGTGTGGACTCTGATACCATATGTACACAGTCGGTGTCGCGGTCGAAAGTAGCCCTCGACAACTTCTGTGGATGAAAAGTTGGGCCCATGCTGTTTGCGCGCTTTTCGCATGCGGGTTTCCACTTTCCCTTACGGCCAGCTCATGCTCAGGCAGAGAGACGTTATCTGTGCGTGAGCCTTGACACAGAAGTGGCACATTGTATCGTCTGTCGAAGTCCGTGCTCGCACATGAATCCATTGCCATCCACTTGATCTTCTCCGCCACGGGCACGTTCGCCCTTGTTGACGTTGCAAGGTCCTGTCTACGAACCAAGACACGACAACTGAAGGTGGAACAGTGCAAAAAGCCTCGGGCAACTATGCCCTATGTGTGGATGTTTGCGTACTACAAGAAGCCGCACGGACGTAGTATCATATTCCACGCTGAAATGACCACAACTTCTTATGACGACATGCGCAACACATTTGCGAGGCTTGCATTCACGTGTAACCAGCTACGTGTGATATGCAGACGAATTCTTCGAATGTCATTGTCTTGGGCTCGTTCATATCGCTTCGGCTGCGTCTTGAGCTTTTCCATATTGCTTCGGCAGTCGTGAAACGCTCTTGAAGCACAATGAACCGAAGATCCAGCAGAGATTGCAAAAGTTTGCTTGCAATATGGGAGCTTCGTCCAGGGCTTGCAACTGAAGTTGTTGCAATTGGTACCGAGCAAGCCGTGGATGATTATCGTTTAAGACCGTATCAAGCGAAGTCTTAACTGTACGTAGTGATCAAGGCGAGTGAATTTCTTGGTTGCTTGTCGACGCAGCGGCAACAAACATTGTTGTCAGTGCATGGACGTCGATTGAGCAGTATTGTTCCTGATTGAGCAGTATTGTTCCTGTTTCAGCAGTATTGTACTGTTTAAGTCAACGCAACGTTTCTTGACGGACACGGGGATCGTGCGTTGTCAAAGTGGAAGTGCCTGAATAGATGAGTAAGTACGTAGGAAATGAATGGGGAGGCGCTTGATGTTCCCGACAAGCTCCTGTCTCCCACGACATTACAAATACCGTTTGGCGCGTCGACTTTCCAGACACTCTGATGTTCGAAAACATGGTACTCGATAGGGACAACCAGATATTGTGAAAGTGTCTCTGTCTTTGCACAACGGTCAAGCAATAAGGTCTCGCATGACAGTGCAAGAGTTGTGGGCTTTGTGGTCTCACCGGTCGCGAGGTCTCCTGCTGAACAGGCAGCTTCTCGGCATACGCGATGCAACACGTCACCTTACACGTCTGTAGTACGGAAAGCAAATCAACCGCAAAGGACCGAATCTCAGGTCACTCACTCGTTTACGATGTCCAGCTCACATACATCGCAATGTCTCCTTTGCAATCTCCCAGCTTCTACATGGCTCCAACGCACATCTGCCCTTGCCATGAGCACGGCATGATACGCAATTAGGCCGTTCCAAGCTGCTTCGTTGCTGCTTCACACTCAAACAGTCTTCCACATGATCTCAATGGATCCACATTCAACATGACCAACGTAGCATGGCGTGGTCCAAAACTTGACCAGACAATTCGAGAGCTTGATCTCAGGTGTCGCCTTCTGTGCACGACATCGCTTCATGCCGGCGCTATTCAGCGACCAAAGTCTCAAGTTCAACACGTACGCGCTCGAGTGATTCTTTCGCTCACGTTATCGAACAATGTGGTTGTACAATGTGGCAAGTCCGTTCGGCTGGATCCACGTCTATTGACCTGCTCGAATTGCTTCCCCAGCCACCACTTCAGGTGCCCAAGTACAGCAGATAACGACCTCAGCGGGGCTAGTGGTGCCACACAACGTCGTGGATCAAACCGAAGCGATCCAACGACACGAATGCTGACTCGAGCAAGTGACCACAAACGTCCACTTATCGTGAGAGCAACTCGCGTAGCTGCCACACTGGACGACTCCTTCGGTTGACAAGCTCTTGGGCCACATGAACCCCCCAAAATGCCTGCAATCGTCAGTCATTCTCGTCCCTCCTGCTCGAATCAAGTGCCTACGGCTGCTGCTGCGACCACTGCAGGAAAACAGCTTTGCCATTGTCATGGCGGCACGAGCAGAGCGGTCACCAATTGCTCACGTGCACGCATCATCAAGATGCTGACAGCATGCGGGTCGTGCAGCGCCAGCAATGTCCATGTGAGCCAACTTTATGAGCTCGTGCACTCACCACGAGGCTGCCATGCAAGTGTCCGGTGTTCCCAATCCAGAGAGTATGCGAAGACCTGGCCACTGATCGTGCTCGCCAAGAGAGTGCTCTTGTCGACCGTGCACAGACTTGTGATCGTGCACTTCGGGGCTCCCTCTGCACCTGCTTTTGCCAGCGGCGAGAGCGATGACGCGTCCCATACCTTCACAGTACCATCCATCGAGGCCGTCACGGGCAGCGGGAGCCGTTGACTCGACTCCATCCCGCCTTCGATTGTACTCTGACCGGCTGCAGTGGTGGGCAAGAAACAACAAGCGGTTGCGTCCTGGTCCCCACCTTCGAACTCGACCACCTGCGTCCCCGTGCGTCGATCCCACACCCGCAGCTCACCGCCGACGCCTTTGTTCGAGCCCCTGCTGGACGTCAACAAGTACGTGCTGTCCTTTGTTGCGTCTCCACTTCCGCTCGCTGCAATACTCTGCGGACAATGCAGAAAGCCTCGGAACGCCTGAGCCGGTGCGTGCAGTGGCGTGCGGGGGTCCCAGAGCTTGACACTCAGATCTTCGCTGCCCTGTGCCACCAGTGCTTCCCCTGGCAACCACGTCGAGCACGTGACAACGTTCGCGGGCGTCGTCGTCTTGGCTGCAATATGACTCGTCGTGAGGTCCCAGAAGATCGTCTGCGTGTCTCGGCCTCCAGAGCACAGCAGTTGCTCGGCGTCGTCCACAGCGACCGAAGCGACGCTCAGTTGATGGCCCCGCAGCACAGTGGTCGTCTCGGACGCCGGTCTGTCCGTAATGGGCGTAATGGCGACGGTCTTGTCGAGGGAACTCGAGTACATCATCTGCAACTTGGCCCCGAGAACCAGTTGCGTCACAGCCGCTGCGTGGGGGATCCACACGCTCAAGACGGTGTCGCGAGTCGGCGTCTTGGACCGCCACTGGAGCCGCTGGATCGAGCCGTCGTCCCATCCAGTGAGGCAGTCGCCGTCCAAGAACGAGCTGTACGCGACGCAGTGCAGCGCCACAGTACCGCTCGCTCGTGTATCGGGAGCAGCAGCAGCAGCAGCAGCAGCGGCGCTACTTGGAGTGAAAGCAGTGCCGTCAATGAGACGTGGCGTCTCGTGCTCGACGGACCGTTTCCAGAGCCGATGCCGCGATCCGTTCACGTCGTGAGAAGCGCAGGTGCCCATTAGCGGCGCTAAAGGCACTCGACGACCGACAAGAGCAGCGCACGTGAGGGAGGGAGGGAGGGAAGTCTACAGAGCCCTTCCTGGCCCGTCCCTGTGGCGCAATGAGACGTACGACAATTGACAGATTGAAGCACCAACTGGTTTGCTGTTGGCCTCTCGACATGCAGACAGGTCGTGAGTCACTATTGACGTTCCATGTGCTTGCACAGCTGCCCGGTCGGGACGGTCCCAGCTACAGGACATTCCAACGACCGCGCGACAGAAGCTGTGTGTAACACAAGTGCAGTCCAGAGCCCGGGCGCGAGCTCGTTCCTGTCTCAACTGCGTCGTTTGCCTGTCGCCCGCACCCGCCGACAAGAGGTCAAAAGCCCCACAACATGCGCGGGAAGTAGTCGGCCGATTCCGCGTCACGGGCGACAAGCGTTCTACAATGCCGCAAGTCCCTCTGGTACTTCTGAAGATGGCTCCTGTCGCCCAGGCGGACGGGTGATGCCCTCTGACTCTTTGCGTAAAACACGTTCCCCGAGCAATTCGCTCCCCGAAAGCCCCACAACATGTGCTCGTGCCTCGGATCTGCAAAGAAGCGGTCCACGAGGCCGCGACATCGACGCACCTGCTCCTTTCGCTATCGCTTCCATCTTGTCATGGAGTGTTGCCAGGAGCCGAAACTGAACGTCCGTCTACGGTTTGCTGTTGCAACGGTGCACGACTGGCACAGCCGGTCAGCACTCGGGCAAACCCGTGTGGCCAGTCGGTGTTAACTGCGATGGCGGGTCTCAGCTTCTCTGCTTTAACTGGCTACTTCGAGCCGGTGTGCGCTTCTCGAGATCGAAATTGTTGCGTGGCTGCGTAATGCCATAGCCGGGCGAGAAAAGCTGCAAAGCTATTTGCAGGCTACGAATGCTCGCAGGATACTCGTGCGGTCGTAGAGCTGGCAGAACAATTGGGACCTGAAGGTCACGTGGCGACGGTGACGACAGTTTTGTTGCAGCGCAATCGCTCGACTACTGAATGCAGTTCGTAGCTACTATTGTGTGGGTAAAAGTACTGAAACAACCACAGCCCTTACGTGTTCCCACCTCTTTGTTGAACCTATTGGTCACATACAGTATAGGCCACGACTAGGGGCACACCCGCCTGCCTAGAAATGATAAAAGGACTTCCCATTTTATAGTACAGAACAATGTACGTGTACAGTACAGTGCCATTGCATGCAAAAGCACCCAACCGAATTGCTGAAATCGTTTGGACCAGGGCTCTGGAGGTCAAAAGGGAAATTCCATCTACTGCGAAGAAAAAGAACCTGTCTTTAACACCTGTCGTCTTGGCCGCGCGATTGCGTCTATATCCCCTCATACGCATTCACTACGACAGGAAACACCGGATAATAACACGCACCAGCTGGACCACTAAAATGGCGTACAAAGGCGGCCCGAGAGAGGGACAACCGTCGCTAAACAGCTCCAAGATCCCCACGTGTCGCTCTCATTGGTGGTACCAGCTTTCCCTCCAGGAACGAAATGGAATCAAAGTTGCTCATTGAGCGTCAAGTCTTCCTCTGACTTAAGGAGCTGTGTAGCTCCGCTACATATGCCATCGTCGTCGCCAGGTCAACGAAAATAAGGCGGGGTCTGCAACAGGTCTACCACAAGTGCGATCGGGGCGGGACCTACAGAACCATCAAAACCTCAGCGACGGTCCATAGCATGTTGATGTAATACCAATTACGTAATTGTTTTCTGCGTCTTCTTACCCGAAATGATCTGCCCGGGGTGGGACATTCAACGGTATGCACTGGTACTTACCTCGTCACAGACCATAGCCTCAAAGTCCACAAATACTGCACGCGGGACGAGTTTGCCCGTGCCTGTCTCGGCAAAAATGTCGCAAACGAGTCGGTGCTGCTGCCGATGGTCAGGTCACTCGGCATCGTACCAGTAAATTGGATACCGTGTTCGAGACAGTAGAGATCCCGACAGGCATTGGCTGTTTGGATACCGCCCTGACCAAGATGGATTGATGGTATCTCGCGCATGAGTGGACCTGCCGTATAAGTTGGGGAGATAAAGAGCAGTAGTAAGTGACTACGTGTTTGACATCTATTCTGCACTATAAAATGTGAAGTCCTTTTTATCATTTTAGGCGGGAGGGTGTGCCCGTAGCAAAAATGGGGTGTGCCCCTTGCAAAAGTAGGGGGTGTGCCCGAAGTCGTGGCCCAATCGCAAATCGCATACGTAAGTATTGAGCTCTGTCCGGCACGATGTGTCGCTCTCTGCGACTGTAAAAAGTGGGAGAGACGACAAGCGGCCAGGACTTGATCGATTACGGCATCAGGCCCGCAAAACGAGGCATCTCTATACTGAAATGACCGTATAAACAATCGCGTCATTATCACAATTCCTTTTCTCACTATATCACTACGCAGCCGTCGGACAACTGCTGCTTAAACACCATCTTAACCTGAGTCCCGCCAACGGTCGGCCGTTATCTGTGCGTGCACAACACACACTTCGCCATCGGACATCCGACACCGCCGTCATGACGCCACTCTTCCGCTCCACATCGCGCGCCAAGTTCGCTCCAGCGCCGCGCCGCCTCTTGTCGTCCGCAGTCGAACACGCCGCTCCACCCACTCGCCGACGTCTGCGCGAGTTACCGCCGCCGCTGAATTTGGTGCGCTGCCTGTTTCGTACAAAGTGAGACGGTGGGTTGAGTTAGTGTGGCGTACACTAATTACGGTGTGCGTGTGACTCGAATGTACCAGACAGATGCTGCGGCGTTGCGCATCAAAGAGCTGCTGGCCAACAAACCGACCGCAATTGGCATTCGCCTGGGCGTCAAAACACGTACGTGTGCGCGTGGCGACCACACTGAGTGGGCTCTGATGCTGTGCATCGGACGTGTACATGTGTGGACAATTGACTGATGGGTGGGTGGGTGTTTATGACTGACTTGTAGGCGGATGCAATGGTTTGTCGTACACGATGAACTACGCCGACACGAAGGAGAAGATGGAGGAGGAAGTGAGCAAGAACGGTGAGCCGAATACGAGACACAGTCGGTCGGTGAGTCAATGGCTGACTGCTGTGCTCGTTTGTTGCTGCTGCCGTGTTGCTGTTGGTAGGTGTTCGTGTGTTTGTCGAGCCCAAGGCACTTTTCCACGTGGTTGGCACGACCATGGACTTTCAGGTTCGATGGCCAGAATGCTGTGGCACTTGATGGTGTCGCGTCGTGCCTGACAGCCTTCTTGTGTTTTGCAGACAACTCCAGTCTCGTCTGAGTTTGTGTTTGAGAACCCGAATGCAAAGGGCAGCTGCGGCTGTGGCGAGAGCTTCAACGTGTAGACCGTGAGCGCCGTCAGCTGTTGCTTGCAAGGGAAAATACGGAAGATTGGAAGCAACATCAGGAACTGCAGTCACAGTGTCGGTAAGGACTTTGGCACTCGCGACAGTTGCTGCATGCTTCTCGTACAAGTGAGAACCTACTGGCTCTAAGCGACTCACTGGTGCGACTTGTACAGATCCTGCACTGGTAGAAATCGGGTGACGTCGACCGCATACCGACCCGGATTGATACGATCGATGCCGCTGGACATCTTGGCAGTCAAGGCGTACGTAGCCGACGTCGGTTGCAGGACTGTAAGCATTGGACGGTCTTTGAAAACAAAGTAACAGACAGGTCACGCGAAAGTCGGTGCAGGTATGATCGACGGCACATGAATATCCGATTTGTTTCCCTAGCCATGTTTGGGTTTCCAGATACTTGTTCCTATCGTTTTTCGTCATGGACGTGGCCTGAGCAGACGCAAGTGATAGGGGGAAGCATGGGATGCAGGTGAGGTCGAGTCTCACATGCATTCCACGCTATCTTCACAAATGGAAACCGCAAGCTGCTGCCATAGCTAGAATGGCCTATAAACGAAAGCCTGTCGGACGTTGTGACTTCTCGTCTACCGCTAGATGCTGAAGTACGCCGGGCATATCTTGTAAGGTTTCTCGCTGCTCTGTTCGATGTGCTATCAAAGTTGTTGCTGGAGCTCATCGGTTGCGGCGCTGCTGAACTGACGCTGCACACCATACAATCTGGTCTATCGCGTTTCGACATTGATGCAAAGGCTGCACGCAAGAGGCGAACGACAAACGACATACTCGGGCCGACCACAATTGTTGTTACCGTCAAAGAAGACCTCTTTGCTGCAAAGACAAATGCAAAGCATCGAGCATGGTTGGCTGTCGTGGCGAATATGTCAGACCGACTCATGGCACAGCCAGCCCTTACCCACGCGTCGGCATCAGTTGATCTTCGCCTTACTGAAGTCCATCTCCGGATGCTGCGCCATGAACTTCTTCAGAACCTCCTGCTTCTGCACCTCGTCGCTCGTAGGAAGCCCCATCGCCTTTTGACGCTGATCGAACATCATTTTTTCCACTGTTTGGCGCGTGTCCGAGTCCAAGTCACCGAGCTTTGAATTCTCAGGCTGCACTTTTTGCGTGTCGATCTCTGCGTCTCCCTGGATGATGGTCTTCCACCACTCCATCTGGTTGTCTTTCTGCAGATAGATGCAAATGCGGTTGCCATCTTCCACGGTCCAGAAACTATCATCAACCTTCACTTTGCTGTAAAGAGGTCCATCTACGAACGTATCGCCGCCCCGCAGACCAACCCTCAGCTTTTCAGCACGAATCTCCACGTCCACTTGTCGAGCTTTAGTGCCTTCAGGGACCGCAAAATTGACCTGAGCTTCCTGCAGCGTTTGCGTCCACACATACTTGTCCGTCTTTCCTCCATTGCCTGCAGGAGCTGCTAGCACGCACACGCATTAAAAACACCACGTCACAAGAAATCAAACAGGGGGCAATACAAAAAGAACGATGCCGTGGCAAACGCCATCGATCGACAACCCCCTCGGCCAACGTACGTGGTCCACTCTCGTCCTCTGCTCCTCCTTGTGGTGTCTCTTGCACGACTGCCGTACTGGGGGAAGAGGTCTCAGTCCCACTGTCCTCCGTGATCTCTTCAAAGCGCGACGACGACGGACGTTCGACCTGCAGCTCTTCGCGCTTTTGCTTCTTCGCCAGCTCTGCCGCTTTACGCGCCGCCTCCTGCGTCCGCCTTTTCTCCGCCTCCTTCTGCTTCTTCAGCTTCGTCTGCGCCTGCTCCACCAGTACCGCCTGTTGGCGCGCGCTCTTGAGGATCGTCTGCTCGATCACCTGCGGCTCGGCGCCCGTGAAAAAGTCCGTCTTGCGGCGCAGGAACGAGAACACTGTGTCCAGCAGTGGCTCAATGCCGCGCTGGGACTGGGCGATCGTCAGCAACATACTGTCGAAGCGGTCCGTGTCGCTCATGACGCTCGGAGATTTACGACCGTTGACACAATGACCAATAGCTACTTCCTGGCTGAATGGACACATGGGTACATGGACACATGGGTACAAAACGACCGTCGAATGGATGGACGATTGTCGTGGGACGCAGGGACTATTTCTGCCAATGGCTGCTGTCGACTGCACAGCGCCGTCATTGACGTCAGATTATACTGCCGTTGGTGACCGATCGCACCATGATCGGTATGGAGTTCAGGCAGGAAAACCACACTGTGTCGTGGTAACTAGAGCGTGAGCAAAAGGCCGAGCTCACAACTTGCTACAAAAGGCTTTGGCCACATTGTACAGAGTGGAATTCACGGTTGTACATGCTGTTCGAAGCTTTAAGGTAGATGACAGCTGTGAAAAGCCTCTGCGCGGTCCCCCACATGTTCATGGTCAACTCTACAGAGGGCGGAAACTGCTGCGAGGCGGGAGGGACTACCAAATTCAGCCACGCGTATCGCGCAGGTACCTTGAGATGTATGGCAATAGCCTCGCGTAGGCAGAAAGCAAGCCTCACAGAAGAACGAGAAGGCTTTCTTTTACCGTGACTCGAACAGCTGTCAGTACAGCCTCTTTTTTTCCTTCCTGTAACGCTACGATCTATGACCTACATTTACGACAGTGTTCGCAACTTGTACCTGACGATGAGATCACCGGAAGCGCGCAGGTACGCTCAAAGAAGCTTACCCGATCCTCTGTACCTCGAGGTAAGAAGTCTACACTTATTGCATGGATCCGCTACCAAAGGTGTTCGGATACGTGCTTACTGTCAGCATCCGAGCTGTAATTATTATCTACTTACGACTCACGGCGTGTATCTTGCTGTTTAGCGGGGTGCAAACTTCTCATATGGTCAGTTTTTGGCAAACACAGACTCACAACTGCTGGCGCAGTTTGTCGAATCGACAACGACGTTCGTTTCCGACCAACGTTGGGGCGCAAAGTACGTAACGGGCTCATCCAGTTATCGCGTGCCATTCGCAGAAAGCATGTCAGACTATGCGCAAAGGAAGGAGAGAGCTTATGCTCTACTAAACAGATAGTTACGATCTCCAACACAGTCGAGCAAGGATCTGTAAACAATGAGAGATGTATACAAGAAGAGCGAAGTTATCGAGCACTTCTGCCACGCGGATGCTCCGCTTACACTGGACGAATTATGGATCACGACACTGCTACCGTGACGAGACGTGCGGCGGTTACCTCACGTACACTCATCGTGTGGAAAGGAATCATCAGTCAGCTCAACGCTAACTGCTTAGTCGAATCGAATTTTGGTGCCTATTTCGTACCACTGTAACGGTATCAATCCAGATCAATATTAACCTTGTCACGGCTGACACGTTAAATGTCATTGACACGTACGTGTGTCATTCGGGCTCACCACCTGTTGTGGGCGTCTCTTCTTAGTCAATGCGTTCGCCAGCTGTCATCAGCCCATGCGCAGGTTGTCATCAACAACGTGCTACGCACTGCATTGTAGGCAATTGCGAGCCTGGAAAAGGACGAATCCGTGACTGAGCGTGCGTAATGTGAAAGCCGAACTTCTCGGTGGCTACTTTCTCTGTGCACATTATCGACACAAGGTCGGCGAATGGGGCTTATGTTGACTATCCTGATTCAGGTCAACAACAACAAAACTATTGAGAACTTCCTGAAGAACTCGCGTCGTTTTGCGTTGCATCACTTTCTTCGTGATGCGAATATGTAAGACGGCGAGGTATCGGTGTGCATCACGTTATTTGTGATGGAAAGGTGTAAGACGTCGAGGTCTCGTTGCGATGATGCGCAGATCAACTTATTGGCAGCAAATGTTGATTGCACTTATAGCGTCAGAGGCATCATGAAAGACCAAGCGAGAGCCCCATCAAGGTTTTGGTCACCTGCAATACAGCGCATGTACTAGCGATAGCTTACGCAAGACGAGTGTGTACTCATACTACACTGTCTTCTCGTCCTTGTCTGGAGTCAAATTATCTTCTTCGTGCTGGCGCTCAGCGCTGGTGACAATCCGGTTGAGCTCGAACTTCAGCAACGGACCCCCTTGTCGATTATGCAGCAAGGAGTGTCTCTGTTATCGTCGTTCTATTGTATATGCCACTGTCTTTCTATCGATGCACATGCGCGAGATCAAAGCGGGAAATGTGACAAGGGTGATACACTTGTACTTGCTTCTGGCCTTATGAATCATTATTCCCTAAATGTAGCAGTAGGTGTCACCCATACATGCGTAATTGGTTCTCAGCGCGGCAATTTCGAAACATTGTCGTGCTCATCTAGAACTTCGAGCTTGCGATCCATCCCTTCGCCTTCTTCGTAACAACGGTTCCTTAGATTATCGCGACGACTTTGCGCTTTTTACAACCAAACTGTGATCTACTCTTATGCTGCCATAGCTGCTAATGTCGAGCTGCAACAAGCGACCTGAGTTTCTTGATACGTTTCGGCTGCATAGTGAAAGGAATCAGTTCCGTGTTATTCCATAAAAGTGATGGCTATCCGAAATACAATTCGTCGACCAAAGTTCGCGGTAATCGACCGAAGGTTCAATTGTGACCCCTCCATTATTGTTTCACGCAGGCTTCTGCTCTCGTCACGGAGAACATAACTTCGACGACTATTGCACATACTTCATCAAACCGGGTCAGCCATTCGAGATCCATCAGATCGCTAGCACTGATCGGAAGCTTCTCACGCAGTCGCAGAGCCATCTCAGGGTAACTCCATTCGTACTACAACGCACGTTGGCAATAGTGACCACACCTATAGCTTGTGCAAACAAAGGGTAGTTGGCTGGATGTGCCTTCGTTCGTGATGGATTGGTAGTCACGTATGCTTTCTCATCCATATGTTTGACCATCTCCACCACAGAGAGCCAAAGCGTGACGCTACGTTGCTCGCGCGCCCACTGCTGCATCTGTAACTACGCCATAGTTGGTTGTGCTTCTGCCAGAGCATGAGGATCGAATGCTTGTATTTATAGTTGATAGCTATTCAGGTGACGACGGATAGCTTGGTGGATGGCTTTTTGCGTATGAAGTCGTCTTGGCACTAACGCGTAATGTGTGGCGTGTCACATCACCTCTCATCGATGACATTGTTCATACACTGGTAAGAGTACAGTTATCTACTTCGATGCTTAACGTGAAGTGTCGTGTAGAGAAAGCTTAGGACAAGCCAGTGGAAACGCTTTGTCGGATACGTACTTCCTGAGCATTTCTGCAACGGTGTTTAACTTCAAATACGTTTACTGAACATCTACTCACCATACACCGCGCGCGTCCATCATTTGTTGGGCCGACACTGTGGCATATACCAGCCAATGACCAGAGAACCGTCAACAGCTACCGGATACCTTCGAAGGTACATTTGCGAGGTGCAAGGCAATGCTAATAGTGTTCTCAACTTAGGTGAGGTACCCGTTGACAATTTGCCAAATGCCAATTTCATGGATTGGGCTCTCTCTTACCGAATGGGTTTGAACAAATGATTCCATGAGCCATTCGCGCACAGCCAGTCTGTGACAGGTTCTGTAGCTCTCTGCTTTCTATCCTCACAAAAGTCAGAATCTACAAACTAATCGCTTTCGCGACCTCTTCCGATGTGCACCTGACACAGAACAACTCCGACCAGAACCATTTTTGCTCATGAGGTCTGACTGTACTGATAACTCTATTCGTATCATTACAGCTCTTTTGTTCCATGCCCCACCAAGTAACCCAACTTGCGGGACTCACGAGATCAGTGAACAGAAGAAACGAGGACCGGTCGACCTCCTCAACTGTTAGGCCTACGCCGCCGCGCGAGCGCAATTACCACCCGTTCGACTAGCTGATCCCTACACCTTCCAGCACCGGCTCGACACTCGTCTCGGCCATGCGATCGATTCCGCTTAGCCGAGCGTAAGACCAATGCCGAACTTGTGCGCGTCGCCGTCAAAGTTCTTCACGTCCACGTGCGCGCTCGTGGTCAGCGCCACGTGGGGGCGGATCTTCTGGATCAGCGCCAGCGACACGTGGCCATTCGACTCGACCTTACCGGCGTATGTGGTGAGCCTGTCGGCATTGTAGCGGCCGCCTACACTGAGCGTGTTGTGACCCGACACGAGGTCGTAGTTGAACAGCGCCGAGTAGACCGTGTCGTAGGAGAGGTGGTGGTGGAACGAGCCCGAGAGCGCGTTGAACTGCTTCTTGGTCTGCACCGTCGCCGTAAAGTCCGTGCCGCGGTAGCTCAGCGCCACGTTGTGGTCCACGACAGCCGACTTGTTGTAGTTAAAGGCGGCCTGGACGCCCACCAAGACGTTGTCGAAGCTGTAGGTCAGCGCTTTGCTGACCGTGTTGGCTCCCACGTCGATCGCGCCGTTCACGGCGTAGTGTGGCTGGTGGTACTCCCAGCCAAAGACGCCGACGCGTTTAGCGTGCACGTGCTTGCCGAGCGAGCCGTCCTCGACCTTGGCCGTGAGCTTGAGGCCCTTGGTGAAGACATGGGGCAGCTCGGCCTCGGAGATCAGCTGCCCGTGCGTCGTGACCTGCAGCTTCTTGAACACGACGCCACTTGGCTCGTGCGTGAAGGCGCCCGAGAGCTTGGCGACGATCGCCTTGTTGCTCGTCATACTGCCTTCGGTCGTGAACGCCACGCCATTGGCCGCTTTGCTCTTGATCTTGAGCTTGCGGGAGAAGTCGTAGTCGTCGCGCAGGACGTTTTCGGCCGTCTTGGCCACGTCTTTGTACAGCAGAACCATCTCGTGCCACGTGCGACTTGCGGCTGATCTTTTCGCGAATGGCAGTGCCGGGAGGGAGGGGGGGTCGAGGCGGTCGGCTTAAGTACGAACAACGCCCACCCTCATCGGACAACACGCGATAGTGAACGCGAGTCACTGGGGCAGTCCAAGTTCAAGTCGTCGCGCGAGCGGCTACAGCAGTCGCGTGGGATGTTTACGCGTAAAAAGCGCATAGGGACCTGCAACTGACTTTGCTCTTGGCGGTGAACGTGCTGCTACACACGTTCCGATGCGAGAGCTGCCTGGTAGCGTACGATAAGACACAGTTATGTTTATGTGGCATTGGGCACTGCCCGCAGCCTCCACCACGTCACATCACGCCCTGTTGTACACGTCAGTCAGTGTACACAGTGGCCATGTTGCGCCGTCGGCACCGTCCAAGTTGGGTGCGCGCTCCGTCCAACTGCCACGTACGGCACCACACAGCGAGACGTAAACCGAATGAAACAGTAGTTGCCGCGTCGAGGCCTTTGGATCCGCCCTGCACCATTGCACGGCCGCTGCGGAACAACTGTCCACGCGTTGCGCCCGCCCGCCCACGGCCACAAATAGGTCTCTCGGCATGCGGCGGCTGCAGAAATCGTGTCTCCGGTTTCCCTGTCCAACTTGATCGTCTCTCGCCGATCAGCTCCTACAGGAGGGGGAGACCCGTTGTGTGGCGCGAGCCACAACGCGGCCGCGACGTGCGCTTGTGGACCGCAGCCGTCGGCACTTTCAAAGTGCAGTGGCAGTCGACGCCCACCGTCCAGTAGCGCCCTCTCCTGTGTCGCTCGCTCGCCCCTCCGTCTCCCGTCCCCCGTCTCCCGTCTCCCGCCAACGCACGTCGCCATGGTCGTGCTGTACAAGGACTTGGCCAAGACGGCCGAAAACGTCCTGCGCGACGACTACGACTTCTCCCGCAAGCTCAAGATCAAGAGCACAGCGGCCAATGGCGTGGCGTTCACGACCGAAGGCGCGCTCAGCGGCTCCAAGTCCATCCTCGCCAAGGTCTCGGGCGGCTTCACGCACCACGCGAGCGGCGTCGTGTTCAAGAAGCTGCAGGTCACGACCCACGGGCGGCTGGTCACGGAGGCCGAGCTGCCCAACGTGCTGACCGAGGGCCTCAAGCTCACGTTCAAGCTCGAAGACGGCTCGGTCGCCAAGACCGCGGGCGCCAAGCAGGTGGGCGTGCTGGGCGCCGAGTTCAAGCACAAGAACGTGGCCGTGAACTCAGAGGCCGACTTTGTGGCCAACACGGTCTCGGCCGCGGCCGTGGTCTCGCAAGGCAGCTACGCCGTGGGGGGCCAGACGGCCTTTAACGTCGACAAGTCGGCCATTGTGCAGCACAATGTCGGGGCCAGTTTCACTGGCGCCGACTTTGTCACGTCGCTCGTGACCAAGCGGAACTTTGCGGCGTTCCAGCTGTCGTTCCACCACCACCTGTCGCACAAGACGGTGTACGCTGCCGTGCTGGACTACGACCTCAAGTCGGCTTCCAACTCGCTCGTGGTCGGTGGGCGGTACAAGGCCGACCACGACACGACGTACTGCGGCAAAATCAACTCGGAGGGCTTCCTGTCGCTCGCGACCATCCAGAAAGTGCGCCCGCACGTGACGTTGACCACGAGCGTGCACGTCGACGCAAAGAACTTTGAGGGCGACTCGCACAAGTTTGGCCTGGGGCTGACGCTAGGATAGCTTTGTGGCGTGCCGTCGCCCCCCCCCCCATGCATCGAGTGCTTGTTGTCAAGCAACGAGGAGGTGCTACAGCCCGTTTGTAGCAGAGACAATTGGTAGGAGGAGCGCGAGAAGAGAGAGAGAGAGAGAGAGAGAGATACGTAAGCAAAAGAGAGTACGTGTCTTGTGAAGTTGGGTCTGACGTTTCCGATTGGTACTCACTGGTTGACGTGAGGTAGTCGAGATGATGTCTGCACTCTTGTGGCCATTCCTCGTGCATGCACGCAGAGGTAGCGCAGATGCTTACGCACTACAACACGAGAGAGGACACTGCGTATGTATGTTCCTCGAGCAGTCGATGGGATACCGAGTGGAGCGCACACTTCGTGATTTGTGTCTGGAGCACGACGACTTGCACGACACCGACTGTGTGGGCTAACTCGCTTCTGGTCTTCTATCGAGCGTGGTATGCGTCGATGGCGACACGAGCTCTTTCCGGCCGCTGACCATCGCACGGCTTGTCTTCGATCGATTTCGTAGCAAGTTGCCTTGCTCAACGTGCTCTCGTCTCCAGCTCAACACGTTCTCTGCTGTTTAGCCAACGTACCCCTTCGCTGGCGATATAGCAGACATGCTTCTCATCCTTCGACGCTGACAATCAGACACCATAACGCTTCGATTCGGCCACCCAGGCATTCCGGGATGAGAACATGGCCCGAGTGCATGAGCAGCTCATGTACTCTGGAGGTTCAACAGTCAAGGGAAGTTATTCGGAGCGAAACAAGTTGGCATCAGCACGCGTGTTGTATAATGCCTGTTGCGAAAGGTGCCAGCACCGTAGGCGCGGCATGTATTGTAGCAGCATTTCGCAGCGTTCACGAACCGTCAACTTTCCTGTGTAGTCTACTCTCGATCAAGCCTCATCAACATCTTCCGTGAGCCGAGACACCATGGCATCGGTCTCGCTCGATGACATGGTCTCCGAGTTCATGATCGAGTTGGATATTATTGTAATGTTCTTCGCTGTTTTCGCGTTGACCCACACGACACCATTGACTCCAACAGCTACCTCAAAAGCCAATCGCTTGCTCAGGGACGCCAGCACCTGACAGTTTTCGTGCAGCAACGACTTTGCTAGCCCAATAGACGTCTTGAACACGTAGCCGTCGTTCAGCTCACCGTAGATGGCAAGACCAGTCATCCAGTCTTTCTTCGTCACACTTGGGGGAGCTACAGTGCCAGTCCAATGGAAACGTCAGCTCACTGCAACACATCAGCAAAACTGTGCCTGCACGACCATACCTTCGCAGGTGAGCTCAGGTTCCACGTTCGGATTGACCTTGTTTACTCGAGCGTAGACGAGGGATCCGAGACGGAGGTTCGGACGATTCCGCTTTGTAGCGCCATCAAACGCCAGCGAGCCCAAGACAGCGCTAGCACTGACGACATCGGCAAGGTTCAGTCAGCAAAGCACCGTCCGCTCCCATCATCACAGCTGCTACTATCACTCATAGCACTGCTCTGCCACATTGTAGAGAACCAGAGCGAACGCACGTACGCAGCTCCAATGTTTACACGGTAAAAGTCGGCGTTGCGATCCGTCACGACGCCAATGACGCCGTCGTCCATCGACGCAACGTACTGTTCGTTACGAGTAAGTGCGCAGCCACAAGAGCATTAGACAGCACGAAAAAAAGGGCACCGACAGTGAGCGCACTGTCGTGCGTACGCGTCTGCAGTTGAACTCCACCCAGTAGCGATTGGCGGGACGGTAGCGGAGAACGCCTGCGTTCGTGCACACGATGCGGTCGTCCGGCAGCTGCTTCAGTCCCGCACCTGTCGAAACCCATCGAATGTCATGCCACACATACGTTCCAATGCCTCGTTAGTGCCGTTCTCATAGCGTTAAAGTCCGACACGGCAGCAAAAGATCGTTGAGCCTCCCGCGACCACCCGCAGCTGCGAACGCACCGAGTTGGACACGACGCGTCGTCTTCGTGAGCGTAGCAGTCACGTCGTCACCCGGCAACACGACGGCGGAGGAGAAGAGAAAGTCCACTGAGCGCTGGGCGCTCTCGAGGAAACTGCTCGCGTCGGCGTCCGCGACGTCGTCGGCGTCCGCCGAGCGCTTGTGCTGCTCCGGCATTAGGGTGTCGGTCACCGGCGGGCGTGGCGTGGGCCACTCGGTAAAGTACGATCGACTTTGGACTGGTTGACAGGCGCTGGAAAGCACGACCAGCAGCGAAGAGGGACCGATCGATGGGTACAACACGGCCCTCAGCGAGCCAGAGAGAGAGAGAGAGAGAGAGAGAGAGAGAGAGAGAGAGAGAGAGAGAGAGAGAGAAAGAGAGAAAGAGAGTCGACAAGAGATGGCCTCGATCGCTAGTGCCAAACCTTTTTTTTCACGCCAGGAGTGCTCTACGCAGCATTGTCTTCAGTTTGTCACGCTCGCAGTCGCGTGTACTCGCAACTCACCGCTTGACTCAAAAATAAGGTCTCTCTTCACTTAGAAAGGATAGAAGTCCACTTGCTGCACGCTTTGCGACACTGAGTCGGGTTCCGCTCGTCGTTCCCTCGGACAGTTGCGGTCTCGTCTCGACCGCGACACTTCACCTTCGCCACTGTTCGCTGGTCACCGCCTCGCTCACTCACCACTACCTTCTCCAATGCATCAGAGCGCATCTATTACAAACGCCCGCGCCCGCGCCCGCGGCCACGACCACGTCCACGTCCGCTGCCTGCAGGAGCACCTGCTTTCACTTTCTCGCGGGGGGTGTCGTCAATCAGCAGCGTGTCGAGGTTCAGCGAATCGGGCAATATGTAGTAGCGGATGTTGTTGCCACGAATGCTCAGCGAGTCCAAGCTGACTGGGTTCTTGCCCTTGACCGTCATCTTGACCGCCTTGAGGTGTGTGTTCATGCTGATGTCCACACCTACGCGCAGCGAGACACACGACAAAGGACAGGTATGGGCGTATCAAATACGTGTCAGCAGCGAGTAGAAAGTGTACGTGTCAGCACTGCATCGATATTGAACAGACGGTCCGAGCAAGAAGACGGCCGCACCAGTAATTGTCCCGTGGACGATCGTTCCGTTCTTGAGCTCAATCGTGACAGTCTCATTCGACAGTTTCATCAAAAACCTACGCACAAGAGACAACAGAGTCACAGCGCTTAGTTCGCAACAGCTATGAAGTACATACTGTGCGCAAGTGAACGGCGACGGCCTTCTGTCGGCTCCACGGCGGCGGGGCACACACACGCACCTGACGAGCTTCATCGTGACCCGTCCAGCGATCTGCGAAAAAGAGGTTACCACACAGCGAGTGTAGTGTGGTCCACTACACGAACGGGGGTTGCAACTACCGGTATTCTACCGTCGCTACGCGCAACATTACGATATCGAGGTTGGACCTTTTCGCGGTCCTTCTATGAGCTCACACACGTTGCTACGTGTACCGTACTCGTTAAACGGCTTTCTTTTCAGTTCACACATTTAATACAGTCTCGTGTTGCGGTTCTCTTTTATGATACAAGGCGAGTCGGTATTTGGTAAATCACCAAACACCAGCTGCGTACAAGTGTGCAGGAATTCAATCAGTTAAAACCATTGAAATAAAGACCGGCCGTAGCAAAAATAGGTGATGGGCTATCCGCACTCACGCGTTAGACAAGGCCTCGTTTGACAATCTCACTTCGGACGGGACTAGCACGACGCAGCGTTTCTGCGCCAAATTGCTTACTATTGTGCAAATATGCTCTTCCAGGAGACTGACACTGTCTTCTGAGTAGATGTACGGAAAGAATGCCAGGGCATGTGCTACATATCGTTGAAAGAAGTAAAGGACGATGAGCATTTGCTGGTGATGCTTTAACGTGTAAGAGGGTATTTTTCCTCAGCCATAAGGAGACGATTACTGCTCGTTGCATTGAAGGGGTTCCTGCGCATTGCGAGACTTCTTTTGCCACGAAAAGCTGCGTGCAATTGAAACGGGGCACGCCCTTACCAGATGCTTGGTGAGACCTTGTGTTAACGGAACACAAGGCTGCGTACTCCCGACGTCACGTGCACGTGGCGTGGGGAAGCGCGAGGAAGTAAACCCGACTAGTAAGCTCTGTTTCAGGAAAAATTGGAACTGTATTTAATAGGGTTGAGTTTCTCTAATAAACAATCTTTGTCTTAATCTAACTGTACTAAACCACAATCTCTTATGTGGGTTTCTTGCTCGCCACCCATTGCGCGCGCCCAGCAGCGATTGGTGTTGAATTTGGCTGATAAAGCGTCTACATCAACCAATAAGTGGGGCACCCAAGAATATCGTCCTCGGGGGTAACATTCTGCCAACATTACCTCTTCTCGAACCATGTTGATTGAATATTATCGAAATAAATAATATACAAAGATTGATACATTCGTTTCAGTTTTATGTAGCGAGCTCACCTCTTTGCATCACCCCCTTTCCCATCAGTCATTCTAGTGAGTGATCGAATTGATTGGTAACAGAGTGGCTACCGTCTTGTCGCTATAGGGGAAAAGGGGCACTTCTTAGCTTGACTTCTCATTTCAACTTTTCAGCGCATGACGGCTCGTCCATGCGCTGCGCGAGCAAGGCCGCCTCTGAAGCGGCTGCACGGATGCGTGCAGCCGTAGAGCAAGCAAACCAAGACTCGGTAGCAGGTGTTGATTCGCCTGCTGCTGCTAATAAGCATTCTGCAACACCCAATGTTGCAGGTGCACGTAATCATCCACGTGCAGCTTCTACATCCGCAGCTTCGGTTGCGGGTGATAGTCCCATGGACGTTGACCCCAAAATAGAGGTTGGCTATTTGAGTGAGTCGGACCCCCGTCCGACTTGAAGACGCCCGCAAAGCCCGACCGTAAAGCTGTGGGTGCACTCATGGCAATCTCGATTAGACTTTGTGGAATGAAATGTTTGGCTCATCCGACGAGTCTGAGTGCTCGTCGCGGGGATCTAGCCTGTCTCGCTTGCATTAGTATGATGTGATTGAGAAGCATGAGGACGTTATTCATCAAGATGATGCCGATGACTCTTCAATGATTCATCGTAGCCGTTACAATTCTAGTGATTGCGGCGGTCGTAGTGCTATTATTTATTTCGGCACTGCGCAAGAAGAGCAGGATCGTATCGTGTTACGATCTGCTCCTGAAAACAATTCATGGATGCCTTCTCAATGCAATCTGAGGAAGTGATATGGTTATACCGCAAATAATTATCGGACCCCACTTGTCGATTCGTCAAGACTCCATGGTTTTGATTTCAATGCGAGTGGTTATCGCACTGAATATGCGTACTACATTGATGTTTTTATAGACATCGATGTTACCACGGCAACTGCAACCGAGACGAAGTTTTGTTGGAGCAGCGGTGGAACTCTTTTATCGGCAACATTAAATTTTTTGGCCGTGACGATTGGCTGAACAAACTTATTGCTGCTCGCAATAAGTTTGAATAGAAGTCGCCAACCGGTGCTCGGTTTGAATTGCACCGATCGTCTTTAGAGTCAGTTTTCCCTTGCCTCTGGGGAAATTTTTGTTTAGCGTTGTGTAGAAAACTCTGTTCGCGCTCCTAGGGAGGCCTTCCTCCCGAATCATCCCTAATGGAGGGCTCGCATCTCGGCTGAAATGTACCAAGAGATTGATACTTTGCAATACCTTTACGAAAGCGCCGGGCCTTCGTTTGACGATGACCTCCATCATCGAACGGTGCGTCTCATCGTACTGCTCGACGAGACCGGTAATATCCAACATCAGTTGAGAGCGGGGCTTCCAGCTGTTCCACGAGGGTGGATACCCCCACCACTGGACGAGGTAAGCCGTCCTTGATTCTGAATCATCACGGTAATTCAAGATACGCTCCACAAGGAAGCCTTGACCACCGTGTGAGTCCACCAAAAACGTGGAGGAGGAGGAAAACCCTTCTTCAAGTCGTTCGACTCACCATCTCGACCAACACGAGATGGATCGCGCTATTGCTGAATTATGCGATAATTTGGAGTACAAGAAGGACAGACGCTACGCTCTGACAGACTTTGTGCGCAAGAACCGCAAGGATCGTGAAACCGATCGTGCGAAGGGTCTTGACGATTACGCCTTCGCCTATCTTCACGTCGAGCATAATGTCGGTTCCCTTGTTGACGAGCTGGCGACAGCTCGCAGGGATATCTCTCAGTTGAGTGGGGAGGTCTCTTCACTACGCGACCATACTAAACGTCTGGAGCGCGAGCGCGAGAATCTAATGGTGATTCTTGAACGTGGGGGGGTATCTTTATGTTCGGAGGAAGGCTTGTACTAACAGTACGGGCGGAGGCGCCGCACGTAAAACAAAGTATGCGTACGCATATTACGCGGCATCTCAATCGTATATGCGTTGTCTTCTCGACGCAGCACACGAAAGGAGCCGGTGTGTTTGGGAAGTAGTTCGCTTCTACCCACGTTTGTCACTACGTGTCTAGGTAGGTTTACCGTAGAATGTAGAACTAAGGCACCTTCAATAAATGAAAGAACATTTGCTCATCCATTCTTGTCAGCGTTCCGTTTCTACCGGTCCACCGCGTGAGCGATGGAGTCCTTCACGAAGCGTACCCTGCTTCTCGAGCCCGCAGAAACCCTTCTGCTGACGAGACATTGTTTTGTTCAGTTTTGCTTGTGCGAACTGCATATATAGCTCTCTCCTCTTTCTGTTCATCAGCAAAGGTGTTATAATCCTCGCTGAAATAGTCGCTGGTGATGCCAAATATACCAGCATCGTCACCATCTGACTCAATAAAAGCGATGACGCTATTATTGAGATGATCTTATTCTTCGATGTCGACATGATCAACATCGGCATCATACGTGACGACGTTAGCGCAATCACGTGAAGATCAAGAGCCAGAACGGTTTTTGCTCGATCGAGTCCCTCCCCCCGTATCCAAGAGTCACACTCTAATAGGGTGGTCAGACGTGAATGACGTAAGTCATTTAAGAAGAGCGGTGTGTGTTGGGTTGAAGCATGCACCGACATATTGATGGTGAATTCCATCATAGGTAGAAATTCACTCCAACTCGAGAACGAGTAGACGTATCCTCGAAACATCTCTTCGAGGACACGGTTTGTAGGTTCCGTCCGACCATTTATTTGGGATGGTCAGATGTTGACATCTGCAAACGCTTTCCGAGCGATCGAAACACGGATTGCCAAAAAAAACTCCACCGTGAACCTAGTATCACGGCCGGACACGAGTTCACGTGGTAACCCGTGGAGTCGAAATATCTTGTCGATAAAGACACGACCACAGCCCTGTGCAGTGATCGAATCGGGTACTGCAGCAAGATGCATCATCTTGCGAAACCGATTAACGAGCACTAGAACAGTTTTATTCATGGGTCATCTTCAAAGAAATTGAAGACTAAGTCCACGGAAACGGACTGCCAGCACTCTGTCGGGACAGGTAAAGTCTGTAAGGGTGCACGGGATGAAGGCTGGGATTCACCCGTTGACAAAAATCGCAAGGAAGAATGTACTTGCGCACAAACCGATATTGGCGAGGCTAGTAAAAGTCACGACTTACCGTAAGGTAAGTCTTTTTCCTGCCATGATGGATACCTGTTGGGCATCGTGACACTCATACATGATGCTCAAGAGCAATTTGTTATGAGCGGTGAAGACCACACGAGGATTGTCGCCGGCAACGTCTGTATAGCCCAGCAACTGTTGCGTGTTGTGTATCGATTTGATGAGGAACGGTACAAAGGTGATAAATCTTTCAACAATTTACGAGTTTAAATTATCAGATGATCCATTAAGCACAGACGGTCATTATCGTACGCGTAAGCCTTTCTTTTGTCTTCAAGTAACGTTGACGACGAGACACTGACTGTAGGTGTCGAAGCAGTAGACTTTTCCTCATAGTTGAACTGCGCGCCCGGCTCGAAATCGGGTCGGCGCGAAAGCGCATCAGCGACGTCGTTTAGTCGTCCTGGTTAATACTCGACGGGGAAGTTGTACTCCGCAAAGAAAGACAGCTATCTTGACAATATTTGCGAGAGGTGTGGACTGGTTATGGCCGTGCGTAGTGACGCATGGTCCGTATAGACGATATATGTTGTATCTCCCAAGAGCTAGACACAAAACT